TAAACTGTACAATTTCTCTGTGCACGTATTCGGCAATAACTACAACCAATAAACACATTACTAACAGATTTAACAATATATGTAAAATACTTTCAAAAGTGTTTTATTAGAAAGCACTTTCAAGAGATCAAGTTGTTAATTGAAAACAAAAAGAAATTATAGTACATTCCACGTAACCGAGTCCCTGAAATGATTCTGATTTATTGTTTAAATATCTATTTATATCAGTTGATATTTGAAAGAGAGAAACAAAACTGTAGTGTAAGAAGTGTTAAATAAAGATACAGCCCTTAAGGAACTTTATTCTTAGTGGTGTGCCACCCTTTGAAACTGTCATATCTGGACTTGTTGATAGGACTTAGCAATCCAGTCTTATACTCGAGCAATTTTACTGTTCTATTTATACACGTATTAAGACCTCCTACAGTCTTTTTTTTTTCTGCTTGATAGCCTCTGGTCGCTTATTATTCGGAAGGATATTCCTCAAAAGGGCGGCACCTTTAGAGACGCACAAGGGGTAATTTTCTTGCAGTGATTAGGACTAAGCACCAGGGACTACAGATTCTTAATAGAATACCTCCTTCTCCTTGTTTACAGCAATTATAGGAGGCACGATACGAACTTCAACACCAGACCTGTCTGTTTGAGGGGTCATGTAGTAGTCGAGGATATTGAAGAGCCAGTCATAATTGTCGGATATCTCGCACGTACAAATGACATGAGCACTCCATTTGGTTATAATTAAGAAAGCTTGTCTGATTTTGGCTTAAGGCTACAGCTTTTCCCCACTACCAGTCCTGGCCTCTTTGAGGATTTACTAACTGGAAAGCACATCAGTGCTATCTGCGTTTGGTATTTGTCGGTTGTCGCGCGTGGCCTTCAGACCTTCTGTACAGTAACAATAAACAACCATAACTTTCTAGTTCGCAGCCAATTTCAACAGCTATTCAACACTACCATCTTTTTGTCTTTGAGTCAAAGACAAGCCGTGTTCGTTTTTATAATCATAATTTGGCCAGATAGAACTAAAAAAATGAAGGAATAAGGTGTTTTTTTTTCTGTTTTTGTCAACAATTAATTGATATGGAACGCTTCCCGAAAGATAAAGCTTTCGTATATACAAAAGGCTCTTTAGATTTACCAAATACGAATACACACATTACTTGTCAAAGCGAAACAAAAATTTGATATATTAAGAAAATTATGGAATATATTATATATATGCCTTTTCTTAGTTTTCTCAAATACAAAATAAGATCGAAGGTAGTTTCGACTGTTGCTGCTTTAACCAACTGTAATTTATTCAGTTCTAATCGATTCTCAACGTTCAGGATTTCATTGTAATATTTCTTTATAAAGAGATAATTTCTTGATTAAGGAAACATTTTTTATAAATATCAGTTCTACTGTCTCAGTAGCCTAACACTAATTCCTTTTTTACCTTGAAATAGATTCCATAGATGCAACTTCTGACGGAAACTCAGAAAACAATTCCTCTGCAGATGAGGACTCACAGCTGCGCATGCGTTTAAAAAGAAAACTCCAAAGAAATCGGACATCTTTTACAAACGAGCAAATAGAAGCTTTAGAAAAAGGTAAATATTCAGACAAGCTGTTTCAACTGTGAAAAAATAAAAAAGTTTTAAATGCAGGGAATTTCTATTGGTCTAAAAGAAAAAGAGCTAAAAATATTGTTCTTCATTCAATTCGAGCTATTGAAAATAGTATTTTTCTAATGTGCATAATTTCATCTAATTCTAGAATTCGAAAGAACACATTATCCAGATGTTTTTGCAAGAGAAAGATTAGCTGAAAAGATTACTCTTCCTGAAGCTCGTATTCAGGTATGTCTAAAACAACAACAAAAAAAAAACGTTATTCACAAAACTCTCACTGTGCTGATGATGGTGTTACCGGAACTAGTAAGTGTAAATAATTAATAAAGCTATATGTTTCATTGTGTCAAGAAAAACGTCGATTGTTTTCCTTCTATTTATCGACATATTGTGTATTTATATGAATCAACTGGTATGAAATGTACAATTAAAAAAACTGTTTTAACTTTAATCATCTGTTTGATTATTAAAAACTTTTGATGAAAATTAATTTAAGCATATAGATCAGAGTTAAAACAAATAACCAGAACATTAATGAAGCCAAATCCTGTTTAACAAATTTATCGGAAGTGCCTAATATCGTAAATCAATACGAACTAAAATCAAAATATATATAATGATTAGATAACACAGAAATATCATTTGGATACCCACGCTGTCATCGATATTTTTGGCCGTAATCCCAATAATATTTCACGATATTTGTCCAGCGCTGGAAAGTTAGGTTAGTCCTAAGTCTATATACTAAATTAACAATGCAAAACATTTCTCCTAAAGAAAAAGTTAAATGAAAAATAAATTTAAGATTATACAAAAATGATGGGTCGTATATTAAACACTTGAACAAATGCTGTCAATGAAACTGACTTTAAAGAAAGAATGGAATTTAAGTATACTTACAAGACACATAAAAACTAGCTTAGGAAGTTTAGTTTAGTTCTATACCAACATACTGAGTCAACAATGTTAAATTATAGTTTATAGACCAGATTCAGGTGAAAAATACAGTAAACAAATGAAGTCGAATAAGAAAAATTCATTGTTTCTTAAAATATGTTATCAGAAAGAGAGGAGATCAGATAACTTCTGAGACCTCACTTTTGACAGGATTATATATATCATTTCCTTGTTAATTACTCAGATAGTCAAGAAATTAACTCAGCACAAATGTTTCACATTTGCCTCATTTATTTAGATGTAGATTTTGAGTAGTGTGATATATTTGTTCTTCTGAATGACACCTCATGCACACAATGAGATAAGTGAACAAGAATTAAGAATCCTTTATGGTTCAGATATATCTGAAATGCTATTTATTACCCACCTCTGATTTTGAGCCACAATAGACAAATTAAAAGGAATCATCTGCAGTAACATCTTTCTATTACTGAACATTTTCCTAACTTCCGTAGTACTTATTAATAAATGTTCATGAAGTCCCTGGTAAACGTCCCATATGAATCTATATATCTACATTGTAACTTCTGAAAGTGAAAATTGAAGATTTGGACTAATTACATTTATTCTCAACATTCGAATTAAACACGTCTATTTAGGTATGGTTTTCCAACCGTCGAGCAAAATGGCGGCGAGAAGAGAAGCTTCGTAACCAAAGACGAGTGGTTGAACAACCAACTGGCACAACTGTACTAGCACCACCTAACGGACGACTTCCAATTAATGGAACCTTTTATAACTCTATGTATCCATCATTAGGACAACCGATGGGTGGAATGGGCGATTCTTACAGGTTAGTTGCATTAAATCGACGTTTAAAGTTCTTTCATGACAATTCAACAACAAGCATGTTGGATGAGAGCATTTATTATTGTGTGTGTGTGTTTTTCTTATAGCAAAGTCACGTCGGGCTATGTGCTGTGTCCACCGAGGGGAATCGAACCCCTGATGTTAGCGTTGTAGATCAGTAGACTTACTACTGTTCCATCGGGGAACATTTATTATTGTAAAATTGGTGTTAAACGTAGAGGTATTTCAGATGGAATTAGGTTTTTAGTGGTCTAAATACAGGGGGGCATTAGCCAAAGGGAGAAGTGCATTTGTTTTTCAGACTTAAAACTTTGTAGTAAATTGTACAAAGAGCTAATTGTTGAGAGCTCTTTTATATTTCTTTATATTAATTATGTAATGCATTTTAACTATTGATGTTATCAGATATTATTTCAATGGTCTTTAAAAAATGTCTTGGTATTAAAATAAGTCACGACATTTTAGTCTCACAGTTACGTTAGACATGATTAATATATTTGATTGATGTATTAAATTGTAGAATAATAGTAATAATTTGTTGCAATTTTAAACATTTCTAAGTCATTTAGCTCATCATTCTAGGGAAATATTATTTGGTATTATTGATAACTAGGTTATGGGAACTAGTATACCATTTTTGTGTTTTAATGAATTTAATATGAATTCGACAATGAATTTGTGTTTATATGTGTGTTGTGGTTTAATAGCAATATTTCTGTTGCAATTACTTCACAGGTTTCTATCTTATTGATAGATCGATTATAAAACCTAGAAATAATAGTTTAATTTTGATAACTTAAAACTCCCTATATAGGTCTTAAGTATATAAGAAACAGGTTGTTCCGCTGTCTGTTTCGTTCAATTGATCACGTCATACAAGTTTACAAGTAATAGGTCACAAACAACCTCCTATTTTAGACTTTTACCACCAGTTAACAGACTACGTTTCAATCTGATATACTTACAGTATGCCACCATCATCCAGCATGACGTCAAATCATTGTCTGCAGCAACGCGATCCTACCTCTTATACCTACATGTTTCACGATCCACTTAGTCTGGGATCTTATTCACGATCATCTTGTACACCCAGTCAGTCAATTAATGGACACCCGTCTTACTCTGTTAATGGAGGAAATGCGCATGGTGCAGGTGAGTAGAAAATACTGTAATACAGAGATGTAAACATCAAAAAATGTTTGGGTTATACAAGAATAAACACAACGTTAGATACCAGAGGAAGTACGCATTGTACAGGTGGTTAGAAAATAATGTAATACAGACGCTCACATAATTTGAATTTTTCATACTTATGAAAATATAGTGTAAACTTGGGTTAGTATGGTTAATACTAACTAAATAAATATAAGTACCAAAAATTAGATCATATGAAAATAAGAGATAATCACACTGCTGAGTGCCTAGAGAATAGTGTTTAGACAAGAGTACCAATATATATATAGCTTTATTAGAGTAGTATTGATATATTTTACATATATATGTAGTAGTTTTTAACACGCACTTCCTTATTATTCCAGGTGTCATTTCTCCAGGTGTGACCGTTCCTCTGCAGGTACCAAGCCAAGGCCCTGATCTTTCAATGGCTACCAATTACTGGCATCGTATTCAGTGACCTCAAACTTGTAGAAACGGCTACTATTCGTTAATTGTACCTTTTAATGCTATAATAAAGCTTTGATTAAGTCTGACTACAGAAAAGAACGTTTTTGAACAGTGGAATAAGGCCTTGAATAAATATGGTTACTGAGCATTCTTTAGCAGTGAAAAACCTTGATTAAGTCTCATTAGTGAGAACGCATTCTTTAACAATGGAAAACGACTTTGATTAAATCTGGTAACTGAGAAAGTATTCTTGCACAGTGAAAAAAAAAACCTTGATTAAATCTGGTTACTGAAAAAGCATTCTTTAACACTGGAATAATAAAGCCTTGATTAAGTCTGGTTATCGACAAAGCAATATTTAACAGTGAAATAGAAGCTTACCAAAAAAAGCGTTTTCAGAATTAAAGCCTGCAAAGTAAATCGGTTCTATACAGAATATAAATAATTACTTCGTTGTGTTCACAGAATTGTACCAAATAGCATATGACATTTCTGAAATCGTTTAGGTTTTGACAATGAAGGAAATTTTTGATAAAGTCTCGTTAGTGGATATTTGAAGATTGAAAATGCACCCTTCTCACATATTACAGACTTATGAAAATGTATTTTTCATTGTTTTAATCTTATGATTCTGAATATTTAGCCTTATCTTTCTGCAGATATATATCTCAACAGATAGAATATAGCAACTGCATTGTTCATAGGAACAGAATTAAATTGAATATTAACGGTCATCATCTATTAGCGATACGAACGAACACTGTCCTATTAGTGATATAAAGTGGAATTGAAGCCTTATCAGTTTTCACTACCTTTATTTGATCGAAAATGCAGCCTAATATTAGTTGTGAACTAGCTGTACTTTCTGACAACAAAATATTATATTGATCAAGTGTTGCTGCTATTTGAAAGTATTGGAAGGTTTATGTCGAAAGATGTAAACATTTTGGAACTAGACAGAAATGTCACTTAGGTGTTATATATATATATGTCGTTTCTTCTAAATATGGAAAGAACAATAGTCTTAAACCCAGAGTTGGACGATTTGAACTATTTAAAGAAGAAAAATTGTTACCTACAGATTTCTTAGGGTGATACATTGTCTTTATTGAACGTTTCCGTGACAAAAACGTAATTTCTTTTTCCAGATACTGTTTGATATGTTTGTGATGTGAAACGAAACAAGGCTTAAAAAAGATGTATGTAAGTACTGTCACTGAAATGAGTGAACGGTGTGCTTGTTTCTTTGGGGCCTATATCTCTGTTCACCTTCATATACAGAAGAAATAATTTCAAAATAAAACCCTAAAGTTATCGTTAAATAATGTTGCATTGTTAAAGATGGTGAAACTAAAACTCACATACTTTTCTGTCACAGCATATATGTATTAATTCTATTTTACATTGTTTGTTAAATATCTTTAAGTTTTGTTCGTAACAGTTGATGAAAGTACTACAAAGTTCAGTAATTTCACACGTTTCAAAAAGTTGTTATATCAGTGCATGTGATTCTATAAAATTTTCTACATTTTTCCAATATGGTTCTGCCACTTTTGTGTTTATGTGAACATAAAAAAATTAATAATAAATATCTTATAAATGACAATTCTTGGTTTACATTAACTGGACACGTGAATATTTCCCTTTTATTGGTAGTCATTGCTGATACTACCTATTATTAATAAAATGGATAATCCGATCAATTTCTTTTTTCAAAAGAAAACTAAATTTATCATTTACTTACAAGTCTGTTTGTATTATACGCTTGAGATTAGAGTAAATGCCTCCTATAATTAACACTTTCTTATAGTCCCAAGTGTCATTTTAAAACATCAAATATAATTATATAACATATTTACGTAATTTAATAAGTTTCTGTCTGTTATCATGCGCCATGAGTAACTTGTTTTGGAGTAATTTTATCTCGATTGAAATATACACATATATATTCCCTCTTTGGTGCTAACTGATTCTATATAATTGGATACATTTTGTCCTTCCAATAAATGCTAACAATAATCGACAATGAACCGAAGCTGAAAACAATATACAAACTATGAATCATATACCTACATACCTGACTATTGAAGGCAAAACTTTAAACCTCTTTCGACAAAAAGTAAATAACGATCTTGCTTTTGAACAGAAATGCAGGTATATAACTCCTAACTATCACCTATGTTTTATGTAACGTAGCAGTCATGTATAGTTTGGTTTCTTACATTAGAAAATTGTATATATATATCACTTCTTATTGCTCATAAAGTGTCAGTTATAAAGCGATTTATGATTTAGAATATTCGTTCAAATAATGAATAAGTATATGAATGTTTTTGTTTTTCTTCAGTTAAGATGTTTGTTCAAACAATAAATAAGTATATGAATATTTTTTGTGTTGTTTGATATAAATTAATTGCTGTTTTACAACCAATAACTGAAATAACTACATGATTTTTTTTTTATAAAATTCATTTCTTAGCTCCATTATTTTCATTGTTGACACTACCATCTGCACCTTAGTGACGAATACACTAAATACGATATGTTACAATTGATACTGTAGGCCTCCTAGTGGTACAGCGGTATGTATTCGGACTTACAAGTTTCTGTTCGAGAACTAAATACATTGCCCCCCCCCCCAGTGGCAGAGCGGTATGTGTGTGGACTTAAAACGGTAGAAACCGGATTTCGATACCCGTGGTTGGCAGAGCACAGATAGCCCATTGTGTAGTTTTAACTAGGAACCACATTAAATACACTAATCCATATCTATCAGTGTGCATATGTTATGAATATGAGTAGAACGTTAAACTTATAGTTTATAACGTAATCACTTATTTCACAGAATAACTCAATGATGGATGTCATAATTATTTGTTTAAACGTTTAAGGAAACAAAACACGTATGTTGTGTGACTCGCACTTTTACGCTTTGATTAGAGATAATTGTTCAGATAGCCAAAGTTATAATTTGAACTTAATTTTTTTGTGATTTAATTGTTTCAGAATATAATTTTGAGTAAACTGAATTTAGGGTTAAAAACATTTGTTTTATGGGTCATTTGACTTGAAGTCTTAACCTATTATCTACGTATATTCTATAGATTTTCTGAATCATGGTCTAAGCCAATTTGATTGTTTTCGTATTTCATGATTCATGCTCTAATCCAAGACTTTTGTTGGATTATGTCACTTGTGGTTTAAACCAAGTTATTTCTTGGGATTTTCTCACTTATTATTGAAATCTAGAATTACATATATAATTTTGTCTCTTTTTTTTTTTCTAAGTCGACCACATACTTTAGGTTCCTAGCTTTTGGTCTAAACTGAACACTTTCTTGGCATAACCTGATTTAAATAGAAAGAAAGTATATAGATTGAGATGTTCTAGTTATGATTAAAACCCTACTATACTGATTGGGTTGCTTGATTTATGGTCCAAATCGAGTATATTGTTCGGGTTGCCTGACTTAAGATCTAATATATTGTTTGGATTGCCTGACTTAAGATCAAATATGTTGTTTAGATTGCTTGAGTTATGGTCTAAACCGAGTATATTGTTTGAGTTGCCCAACTTATGGTATAAGCTGATTATATTATTTGACTTGCTTGACCTATGGCCGAAAGCAAGTACATAGTTTTGATTGCATGAATAATGAATGGTAACATACGAAGCTATTTCTTGTTGTCTTTTTTTTTTAGGTCTAAGTTGTACGAGTGCTTTGTCCAGATTAGAAAAGGTTGAATTAAATAGTTCAACCAGGACACTTTACTGCATAATCTAGGTTTGAAGAACAAAATGTAAATGAAAATAAACGCGGTTTTTAGTATCAGTATTCACTCTACCGCACTCTCTAATGCTGTTATGTTAATTTACTTGTCATTAAACACTGTTAATAGGCCTATTATGTTTTTAGCACTATACTCTATATTCTATTATTAATATTCTAATTGTAAATTACAATTTATTTTTTGTCAACGTGACTATTCTACTTTTCGAATATTCTTCTATACATTCAGAATTTACAAAAGCTAGTAAGATTGCCACCAAAATTATTTAGTAGAACATGTGATAATAAATTATTGTAATTATTATTATTTGGAAACAGTAAAATGTGATGAACCTTTTAATACAATATTTTAGTCCAAATTGATGATAATTTTGTATATTTTTCAAATTTCGCCAACACTACTCGAGGGATATCTGTGCTAGTTGTCTCTAATTTAGACGTGATAAACTAGAAGGAAGGCAGCTAATCAACATCCAACTCCATCTCTTGGGTTAGTCGTTTACCAACGAAAAGTGGGATTCACCCTCACATTATAACGCCCCACATGTTCAGTGATGGGATTGGAACACTCATTTGGCACATTGCGAGTCGAGCACCTTAACCACCAATCCATGCCACGTTTAATTGTTTGTTTGGTTTTGAATTTCGCGCAAAGCTACACGAGAACTAGCCGTCCCTAATTTTGTAGTGTAAGACTATAGGGAAGGCGGTTGGTCATCACCACCCACCGCCAACTCTTGGGCTACTCCTATACAAACGAATAGTGGGATTGATCGTCACATTATAACACCCCCACGGCTGAAAGGGCGAACATGATTGGTGTGGCGGGGATTCGAACCCGCGATCCACAGATTGCGAGTCGAGTGCCCTAACCACCTTGCC